TAGGTGACTATTTGAACGCTCTCTTATTTCATCAAAAAGCGCTCGAAATCGCTAAAAAGACTCTTCCTCCAAATCATCCTGATTTGGCTACTCCTTACGACAATATTGGTTTGGTGTATTCAAATATGGGTGACTATTTGAATGCACTTTCATATCATCAAAAAGCATTGGAAATTCGCCAAAAATCTCTTCTTTCAAATCATCCTGATTTGGCTACTTCTTACGACAATATTGGTTTAGTGTATTCAAATATGGGTGACTATTCGTATGCACTTTCATGTCATCAAAAAGCATTGGAAATTTGCCAAAAATCTCTTCCGTCAAATCATCCTGATTTAGCTACTTCTTTCAACAACATCGGTTTCATCTATGGCAAGATGGGTGACTATTCGAGTGCACTCTCATTTCATCAAAAAGCGTTGGAAATTCGCGAAAAATCTCTTCCTCCAAATCATCCGAGTTTGGCCATTTCTTACAACAACATTGGTTTCATGCACGATCAAACGGGTAACTATTCGAATGCACTTTCATGTTACGAAAAAGCACTGGAAATCAAACAAAAAACTCTTTCTTCAAATCATCCTGATTTGGCTATTTCTTATAACAACATCGGTTTCATCTATGACAAGATGGGTGACTATTCGAGTGCACTCTCATTTCATCAAAAAGCATTGGAAATTCGCAGAAAAATACTCTCAAATCACCCTGATTTAGCTGCTTCTTATGGACATATTGGCATACTATCTTTCAAAAGTGGAGAGCATTCGAAAGCTGTTTTATATTGTGAACGGGCTCTTAATATAGTAGAAGATTCACTACCTGCAAATCATCCAGATATTGAATTATATAGAAAGAATCTCGAATATGTAAAAAAGAAAATGTAATTGATTTCTATTTGGTTCGAAGAAGTAAATGTAATGAAGAAAAAAAAAAGAGTATTCTTCTTTTGTATTTAGTTGAAGAGATACGTGCGTGCACATAGAAAGAAACTCTGTCTGACAAATAACAGCAATGGGGTTGTGGTCATTGGTAAGATAACTAATACATAGTCCAATGATGGACATGTGTTGTAAATAGAAGATCTTCAGAGTGTAGTTTGTGTTTTCCTCAGGAGAATTTCTTTATATCGGATACAGTGCTATCTGACAGGCTTAAAAGAAAAGAGAATTCTTTGATTCATGCAAAGAATTATTCTTTCTATTTCGATATAATAATAATTCATTGTGTGAATAATAGAAACAAGAAAATGCTCATTGATTGAATGATTTACTTCTATCTATAATTGAATTACTGTTATATTCGGAACAGAAAGAGCAATTCAACTATACATGTAAATGATAGATTTGATCGATTAGAAAAACTAGCAATGGATAATATGCTGAAAACGATATCTGTATGTAGAACTACAGAATATCATTTCTTTTGGAAGAAAACCTCTCAGCTAATTAGTTTGTTAATTCAGAGGTAGATAGAAATGTCCATCAATTAGTTACTCAACGTGAGAGGAGCAGGCAAAACATAAAATAAAATAATTAAGGAATAAAACAGAAAAAACGTTGCTGCAATATTACCGTTAGCATGAGATGAAGAATGAATAACGAAACATTTTTATGTGTTATTCGTTCGAGCAGCAAAACAAGATAAGTTTCAATTGAAAAATTCATGAGCGTCGCATAGTCAATGTTTTGTTGAAAGCAATCAAATTTTGAATGGATCTATTTTATCTTCCGTTCCTCAATGGTGGATATTGCAACAGCCAAACTTCTGTCACTTTAATTTTATTTTTCTCAAAGGCATGATATAAGTAGAAGAAAAGAAGTTTTGCATTGACAATGCCGGTGTTAATACAAATAAGGTTTTTCAGTATAACGACATTAAACGGATCAAATAAATTGTTAGAACATTAATTCAAAATGTAAACATTTTCGAAATGATAAAATAATTGTTACCATTTTGATTTATTCATTCATTTGTTATTTTTCAAAATAAATTATTTCACACTCACAAGTTTTTCTCAGTTCAACCGAGCTCAACACATCATTTTCATTTTGAAATGAAAAATAGTTATAGTATATAATTCATGTTTATTTTAATACATATAATATATAAAAATAGCAACCAATCTAAAAAATGTTATGCATCTTTCGACATTCAAATAAAACATTTTCTTCTTCTTCATTATTTTCAGTGCGTGTTATTATAAAATGATTTGATCCAAAAAAACAAATATTTGTTGGCGAAAATCCATTACATTTTAATTCACGCATACGTCGTTGATCATCGCTTTCTTGAGCATCAATAATAAAGATTCGTTGTTGAAGGTATTCATTTTGCTCATCTGTCACAAATAGAAGCCATTGTTGAGTATCTTTTTTTTTTTTAGCGAATAAAAAAAAGAACATATTTTTCTACAAATAATATGTTTTAAATCATTAAATCTTACCATAGACGGGTGATATAGATAAGATACTATATTGTTTTGTATCTATTCGAAAGAGACATTTCATGGCACGTGAAATATCACAAACAAGAATTTTATCTGTAAATAAAGCATCAATAGCAACTAAATGATTACTCATTCGAATACGAAATATTTCCATTGTTTCTTTCATATGAATTTCATCTGCATATAAATCAGATTTCCAACAACGTTGTATCATTTGATTATTTGAATAATGTTCAATAACATCACCTAATGATGTACCAAGATTATGAACAAGAAGAATTGAATCACCACTAACACATATATCTTTAAAAAAACCAAAACCAATATCTATATAACGTGTTATACGTTTTGTTGTACAATTAAGTTTAAGTAATTGTTTTGATGTAGCAAGAAGAAATCCATTGACATAAGATGACCATGTCAATTGATTAAGATCACCATAATGTATATGATCATAATTGATATCGCATAAATGTTGACCAATATTATTAAATAATTGAAATATTGAACGAGATGATTTATAAATAATTAAATATTGTGAAGAAGTAGTAAAATGTGTTATATCAATAGGATCATAATCGAGATTAAAAACTATTTTTGATAAGAATAAAAATTGATTTAAATCAGGTTGTATTGTAATTTGTGAATTAAGAAGTAATGAATTAAAATTCGGTTTAATAAGTTGAATAGTTGGATTTAAGTTTGAAATAATTAATTCTAGATGAGAAGATTCAAGTGTGTTTAAAGATTGTTTTAAATTTTTGCAATTCTATAAGCAAAAAAAAAATATGTATAATTTAATCAAGTTAAATAATCTATTGGTCTAACTTCTTCTAAACTCTTTTCATCATCGGTATCATTATTTAATATATTGTTTTTAATTCGATTAAATTCTTGATTATATTGTTCATAAGTTAAATAAATTTCTTTTTTTATCATTTCAACATTTTCAATCATTTTTGTTTGCCATTGATTTAATCGTTGAAATAATTCAGAACGATTATCTTCAAATTGAAGTGTTTTCATACGTGTTCGACAGTCTTCAAAAGCAGATTTCAAATATTTATGTTCCTTATCAATAGTTATTTGATGTTCAACAAGATGTCGTAAACAAAATGTTAACGGACAATGAGCACATAAAACACTACTAACTGGTTCAATACAATGTAGATGAGAACAAATTGATTCTGTTGATGGACGAAAACGTTTTAAAGTAGACATCTAGAAAGAAATTATCTACATATAATCATTATATTTATGTGACGTACATGTTATTTCTTGAACTCAAATATATGAATGATTTGTTTAATAATTATAGAATTTTCCTAATTTTTGTTTTTACCTTTTGAAATTATTCTTCTTAATCAAAGATGACACTTTAAATATAAGAAATTCTTCAGAAATTTGTCAAGATTGTCAGTGATAGGATTAAGCTTTTGATCAAAGTTCCATATAATATTAAATCTTCAACTGATATTATGAACAAAAGAAAACAACTTTATCCAATCATATTTGTTCATACATATGATCATTCATATACTGCATTATACAAGTTAGTTTTCTAATAAATTTTATCTATTTTCCATTCATTTTATTCTTATTGATCATAAACAATCCATTATCTGATCAACATAATCAATATTGAATATTACTTCTGATAATTTCTATTGAAATTTTGTCTAATCAAACGCACTAGAAAAAAACAAATGTTATTATCATTAACAGTTAAAACTCGAAATAATTCAAAAGTTTTAGACACGACTAATTCTTGTCGTTTGAGAAATGTGTAGGGTGCGCTAGTCAACAAATACAAAACAGTATTTCGTATGTTTAACACGAATATCCAATGCCCGATTAGAAAATTTCATTCAGCTTACTAAAGTACAATTCGATCGGGTCGAAAGAGAGAGTGTATATAAAGTTTCTTTTGCAGACATTACCCTTCTTACACTCTCTGGATTATGACCTTTTCGCGAGAGGTCTGATTTCATTAAATTCATATAAATTAATGCTCAGCTTGGTAACACAGCAATTATATGTTCTACATTATTTTTATAATATCATGTGATGTAATTTGATTGAATAACATGAAGGATTCTTTTTAATCTTATTTAGTGTTTGTGAAAAAAAAAACAGAAATTTAGAAAACAATATTCGACTTAAAATGAATAAGAATGTTGGTGCATTTTTAAATAAACGATCAGCAGTCACACACTCAGATCCTCGTTTGTCACATGACTACTGAGTGCGATATTTATCTTATTGCGTATACAACATATGTTGACTGTTCTAGGTGATGCCATTCTGACGAAAGCATAGAACCATGTTTCCTTGCCAGTTAAGTAAGCACTCCTACTTGACAAATTTGTTTCTCATTGTACAACACCCTTTTTTGTAATGTGCAAACACTTCTCATACATATAATGCATCTTTTATCGTAAAAAGCGAAATGCAAATGGAATGAAGAAAAAAAAAATGCAAGGAACATTTTTGTTACACACTCGCTACGAACAACAACAACAACAAGCAATCTTACACTTGCCGCTCATTCCAGATGATGACTCATTTAATACAATCTGCAAGTGTTGCTAAAATTTTTCGTTTTATTGACAATGATTACAATCCAAGATTGTTTCCACCAGTCAACGACTATTTAACATATGAACTTCTAACTCTTGAACAATGTTTGAAGCCGATTGCAGCTCGAATTGATCGATTAAATGAAATCATTCAAATAGCCCAGGACAAGTGTCATCACCCTTGCCAACATGGTCTGACGCATGATGAATCAGCTGCTATCTTTCTCTATACAATGGAATGGGATGATAATACTCTCTATCAAGTGATCAATCGAGATCTTCGTTCAGAAGAGCAGTCGATTTCAAAGTCTTGGCTTCCCTATTTGAAATTATTCTATACTGCTTTAAATAAATTGCCCAATGTTCAAATGAATGTGTGGCGAAGTATTCAAGAAGATATGATCAAGGAATTAGACAACGACAATGAATTTATTTGGTGGAATATCACTTCATGTTCATCGTCGATTGATGTTATAAAAGATTTTATTGAAATAAATTCAAGATTATTAGTAATTGAAACAACTGCTGGAAAAGATATATCGAACTATTCGAATTTTCCAGATCAACATGAGATTATTATTTGTTCAGGCACTCGATTACGTTTCGTGAAATATGTTCAAGATGCGGCATCTTCGGTAGACATACCATATTTGCAAGAGTTAACTGATGAAAGTGAACGGAAAACATCACTTCGTGTCAGAATGAATGATTTAATCAACATTTCATCATCAAAATGGTATCAGAAATGGTCACTTTTTTTATTGATACATTTTATCGTATTGATATTAGCACTCTTTCTTTTTACTCCTTCAGCAAAACCATTGACTACTTTTATATTATCCAACGGACCTACATCGTTTTCCTCAGCCATGCAGCACATGTTTTCGTTGATAGATAGTCTAAGTCAAGCAATGATCACTGACAATCCATCGGTTATTCATATTCATGTCGATGAAATTGGAAATAGATATGAAGGAGAATGGAAAGATGGTAAGAAGCACGGCAAAGGTAAGATGGATTATGCAAATGGTTACAAATATATTGGTGATTGGGTTGGAGACGTAGCCACAGGTGAAGGCATCTTCATGTGGACCAATGATGACCAATACGAAGGACAATATCAAAACGGTCAAAGACATGGAAAAGGTTCGTATACATATGCAAACGGTGACAAGTACACGGGCGGTTGGTTCGAAGATAAGAAATCAGGCCAAGGCATTTTCATCTGGGGATCCACTAGTGCGTGGGTCAACAACAAATATGAAGGAGAATTTCACAATGATCAGATGCATGGATACGGCACATACTCTTTTGCAAATGGTGATACGTACATAGGCGGTTGGGTCAATAATCAACAGGAAGGTCATGGTATCTTCAATTTTTCTAATGGTGATCGATTTGAGGGAGGTTTCAAGGCTGGTAAAATGCATGGAGAAGGTTCTTATTACTTTCAAAATGGCAACAAATTTAAAGGGGAATGGAACGACGGCGAGAAAGTGGCTGATCATGGGGCTATTACTTGGGCGTCGAAAAATCGACCTACGATGACATATTCAAAAATCTATGGAACTCAAAGCAATGACATCGTTAGTTACATGCGAACTCGATTGACATAATCAAAGAATATTTATGGAGAAAGGTGGAAGAGCATGAGAAGAAAGAAACAGAAGAGATGTCTGATGCAAATATTGAAATTCAAGAAGACACTGAGACTGATGAAATTGTTGCTCTTTAGCTATGCTTTTCTATTATGAAATTTCTCTCCAGAACTTCCACTTGATCAGCTACACTGCTATGAATCTGCCGTTTTTTTTCTATGTTCTATCAGAATGAACAGCTTCTAATAAAAATCTAACAACACTTGATATATATGTTTTTTAGATTACGATGAATAGCACCGGCATGGATAGATGGACGATTGGTTTTTCCCGTTCAATATACTGTACTGCGTCTCGCAATAACTATTTATCATTCTTTTTTTCTTTGAATTGTGATTGTGTGTGTACAGCACTAATGAAAATGTTTCATAGTAGCGTGAGAATCAAATTAGTAACTTTCAACTGGAATCAACAGAACTAGTCTCGGTACGAGAAAACTGCAGCAAAGATCAATCTTTGAGACCTAAACGAAATCTTACTCAGAGCTGGACTGCAACGAAAAGTTTTGTAGATCTTCGATGCAAGTACATCGTGCATGAATAGCTTCTTTTTTCCAAGCTATTGAATTTGTTTTGTTTGTAGTAGAACTGATCTAATCGAGAGTGTAGATGTGAATGATGGCAAGGCCTCTATTCTACCCACATGCCTATGGTCACTCGTACTCACCGACATCTCACACTCTCAGACAGTTCATTGCATAATAGAAACACAATAGTTTCCTGATACAATACTGATGCTTTAAACTTCATTTTCTATTGAAGATAAATATATTATAAAATGTAGCGCGTTCGATACTTTCTCGCTAAATACAATATGTTTAAAACTCAATGAGTTATGGTAATAAAAAGAATACGAAGCAAATTTAATTGGTCCCCCTGTATAATTCACTGGATCTTGATCATATTCAATAGTGAAAATGAAATTCTTTCTATGTGTGCCCAACTTAAACTCATACCATGAAGAAGTATAAACTGTTTTTCAAGCATATCCTCGATCAGATATTAAATTATTTTCGGTAACAAAATACATTAAATGACCAGTAACTAATAAGAAAATGATCAATTTTTTATATTATGAAACAGTAAAAAAATACAATTTATATCAGTAATAAACACAGTAAATAATAAATTCAAAGAGTGAATGAAGAAAAAAGAAAATTAACAATGAGTTATTGCACTAGAAAAGCAGGTTTTGATGATTCTGGTCTACATAATTTTCTTCTCTCACTAATCGGTACTGTTTTTGCTGCTACTACGGGTTTGCAATATTGTACTTTCTTACTTGTTCACACTAACGTTAGCGCGTGGCACTATGAAAAATTTCTTGATAGTCTTTTAGGCATAATACAAGAAAATTAGTGAAGATTGACAAAGTCCAAGATAATTTCAAATACATCAAAATTTCAACTACTAGAATGTGATCAAAACTGGTTTTCTGAAACATGATCTACATCGAAATGTTGAAGAATAAACCATTGACAGTAAGTAGGAATCCATCAACTGCAATTTATACTAATTAGCCTCTTCTTCTAGCGTATCAGCAATGCTATCATATTTCACAAACTCATCTTGCATAGGCTGCGCTAACAGCTTTTGTTTTTGTAATCTTATTTTCTCAACGTAGTCGACGTACTGAATAATTCTTTATTGTTCTGTAAATTAAAAGTCAATCTATAGATATTTACCGTATAAGCAAGAATATATCTGATTTTTTATTAAATTAATTGTTCCACATTAAAAAATCAGTTTTTATACTCTTCAATTGAAATCGTTTCTAGACAATGCATAAGCCGTGCAAATAAGAACAAAACAATATTCAAATGTATAGTAAATCGATTTAAGAGCGAATCATATCATAATTTAGATAAAATCACAAGTTATTTTCATCCTTTTATATGAATAATTCACACATTTTTGTGTTCATTGGACAAAATAAAACAATTTATATATGACCGACGGATTATGTTCTTTTTATTCATCGTTCATTAATATTTTCTTATAATATTTTCTTTCTTTTTTTTTGTCTTACGTGCGCTCAATTTCAAAAAACAAAAAGCGTACAACAGAAAAACAAATAATTCTACACGTTTAACGGTACGATTTTTGATATTTGGCACGTGCACCTGGACCACCAAATTTCTTCGGTTCACATCGTCGTGGATCAGAAACAAGTAATGTACGATCATATTGTACGAGTATGTCGCGAATTTGTTTTTTTGTTGCTTCATCAACAAATTTTTGATTATAAGCAACAAGTGATTTAGCTAATGCTTGTCGTATAGCATAGATTTGTGCAATACGACCACCACCTTTTACTCTTATACGAATATCAACATTAGCAAATTTATCACGACCAAGAAGATATACTGGCTCTTCAAGTTTAAAACGAAGTACTTGTGGTTCGACAAGATGAAGTGGTCGACCATTAACACGGATTGAACCGTGACCTTGAATTAAAGATTATTATTTCAAATAGATTAAATATAACGAAAAGAAATATTTTTCTTTTTTATACCTTGTTGGCAGACAGCAACGGCTGTAGCTGTTTTTTTTCGACCAAATGTTTGCACACGTTGTTTTTGTACTTTCGACATGATTTTCGATACTCGAAAAATCTAAAACAAAAAAAATATCGTGAATATGAAATAAAATAAGTAATATCGATTAGAAAACACGAACATCTTTCAATGTTTATAAAATATGAATTGAATATAGAAAAAGAAATAAACAAAATTTCTTTTGATGAGTCATTTATTTGTATAGATTGGTTATTTAATTTGATTTAATAATTTGACTATTTATTAAAGAAAAAAATTAATTTTAATAAATGAAATATAAAATTCATTCTTATTTTTGATTTATTTTATTTAAATAATAAAAAAATCTAACGACATCTTTTATTTATAATTCTATTAGTTGAAAAGTCTTTCAAAAGAAATTTATTTATTTCAAACTGAGATTCACTGTACAAAAAACCATTTTCACGTTCAATTCAACTATGCTTAATATATCACCGAACAGTAGCTTTGTACGTGATATATCAGGTATAACAACTGATCGTCTGAAAAATTTACTTAATCAAACATCTCAACGTCAATCGATTAATCATGATAAACAATTAACACAAAAACGAATATTATTTAGTATAATTTTTCTATGTCTTGTTCAAATAATTGTGTATGTTTATAGTTTAATAATGAAACTATTCTGTTTAGTAGGTGTTTCATTGTTTGGTATGGTGACATAAACACTTTCGAATTTTATAATTTCCGAAGAGAGAACATTTTTTTTAATTGAAAGTGAAGAATATCAACTTTAATATTAGCGCATACTCACTGTGAAACATCTGCTAAACGAATGCCAACAATAAAAAAGTATATAGTATTTCAATTTCTTTTTACTTCTAGTCCAGACAGTTTTTTGCATGTAAATGAAAAAACATGGAATGCAAGTAAGAAAGAAAAAAACAAATTTCATTTAAAAATTTGTAAAATTATGTTTATCGTAGAAAAATTCATTGTTGTCGCTTGTATACTTTATACTATTCGTGTATTCATACATTATATACATATATCATTAGCTAAATACGTATTTTTAACAAAAACTGAATTAAAACAACTTGGCCTATTTGCACCAGGTAATAAAAGGAGTTTTTTGTGCTGTTATATAAATTTTAATTAGAAAATTTATTTATTTTTTTTATAGAACCAGGATTTGTTGTATGTGATGCTCCTCAAGTAGCTGAAGCTGCTTTTAATCGTCATAAATATCTTAATAGATTTTTATGTTGGATTTCACCACAATCATTATATACATCAATTCTTGATCAACAAAAAACACCTAATCCAACTCTTCCATTACGTGTACTTACGGCTACTCTTGCTGATCGTATAGCATCTTTAATAAATATTCGTTCAGTAACTTCACCAAATAAATTTGAACAACAGGTTAAGATAAATAAAATAATTGACATAAAAGAAAAAAAAAAGAAAGTTTTCTTGATTATTTTAGAAAGATTTATATGATCATACTAATTCAACTATTGCTACTCCTGATCCATTAACAACATTAAGAAATAGTGTCTATTGGCAATCATCTCCAGGTAATACACGATCTGTGAGAACAGAGTTCAACGTTTTACTCCTATACTTATTTTAGATCGTATTTTAAAAAAAAATTCTTCTTTTTTTGTCTTTTGAATAGAATCACCATCAACAAATGTAAGCGATTGTTCACGTTATTTAAATGAATTTGAACGTGAAGCATTAGATTTATCAAATGCAAGTCATAGTCGAAGTTTAAATGAATGTAAGTTAATATTATAATTGAATTATGAATATGCTAAGATTTCAATTCTATTAAAGCATTTTGTCGAAGTCCTATAATTTCAACCAATGCTATGAATGATACTGTAGCTGAACTTCGATCACGTCCATATCAAATGGCACATGTTCGTTCAGCAACAAATCAAAATGGATCAACAGTAGTCGATGATGATGCACGTAAATCGGATTATAAAAGAATTATTAGTAGCAGTAGTGGATCTGGTAGTAGTCAAACAGGTGGCACACAAAATACAGTAGTAAGTATAAAATCAATTCTTATAACGCGAAAAGCTCTTATAAGAATTTTGAAAATTATTTTCGCTTAACTAGAATAAGAAATTTTAAGATTTCCGAAAGTCTTTTTTTTTTTGTTTTGTTTAATCATAGAAATGGCGTAAAGTACGTATTGATGGACCACAATTGTTTGTTTTACGTGAAAATATGCGCAAAGTAAGTCGTAATTAAGTATTCAATATCTAAAAAAATTAAACTATTATTTTTTTAAGTGGCTAACGAAAACAATTCTCATTCCATTAACACGTGAAATTGAAAATGTTAATCAATCATTAATTGCTCTTGGTCATACAGATATTGTCATTGGAAGTAAGTTACAAATCTTTTTCCACTATTATATACAATTTGAATGTACTTGGCTCAAAAACTTTTTTTTTTTGTGCTATTAAATTTTCTTAGAAACGACAACTAATGAAATAAAATCATTTATTCGTTCATGTACAAATACGACATTAGTCTCTCAATTAAATGAAATATTACCTAATTTTGAAATTCATGCAAATCAAGAATATATTCTTTCTCGAATACAAAGTAAATAAAATAAAGTTATTTATTTTTGTTAATAAAAAAATTCTTTGTGCTTTGTCTCTGTAGTCTTAGCTCGTACATATATGTCGGATTATAATTGGAAATCCGGTGTAATTACTGATGCTGAACTTGTATTTAATTTATTTTGTATTTATTTTGATCGACGTCTTACACCAGATCCACGATTCTTAGATGGAAAAGTATTTCGTGGTAATTATGTTGTACGACAAGCACAATTAACAAGTAAATATATATTTGAATAAAAATACGACATCAGATATTGTGTATTATTGTCAAATACGATTTGAAAGGATAAATAGAACTATAGGGGTTACAGTTTGGATCGTGACAGACCTCTTATCTTGCTCTGCTTAATAAAGTTTTTGAAGTTTTTGATTTTCAGAAGACTTTCATCTGAACAGTTCAGTTTGAGTTTTTGAATTACCAACTCTAATAGAAAATCTTTTCAACAACAGAAATGTTTTCTCAGACTTGCCAGTTGTCACTATCGACAAGAAAACTGAAAACAACTGCTGTTAATTTATGTCCGCTGCTATACATCGTGTATCGCATTTTAATGCTGCATGAATTTTATTCTTGATAAATATAATTATATTTAGACACAGCTCGATATCCAACAGCTTTATTTGTCTATCAAGAAAAACCACCAGTTTATAAAGTTTTATCAAATGGTGAAATTCATGACGTACCAGCAGTGAGTAAATTTTTTTGTTTTAATTAAATAACTAGAAGTCAAGTATTAATTTATTTTAAGGGTGATCATAATTTGCTTGATTGTCTTCTTCTATTTGTTGAATGTGTTAATTCGACTCGAAATGGGCATCTTGGGTAAGTTTTGAAACAAAAGAAAATTTTTTTTTGGTAACTAGCTATGCTCTTTTTTTTGTAGATCATTAAATTTAGGTGCTAGTGGTGTGGATATTTTATGGACTATTATGTCACCACCATTAACATAGACATATATATGCATTAGTTAAAAATTTGTTATATTTAAAAAAATAATTCAGAGGCGCAGATATTTTTGTATTCATCTCCTTGCTTTTGTTATTAAACTAATTTCTACTAGGTTTCAGGTGTAAAGGTTTATTCAAGGAGTTAAATTTAATAATAAAGAAAGGTTTATTTGAAAGTACAATAGACCTTTATCAATTATTAAATCATGTTCGATGCTTTTATTATTCTTTAGAATATGATGAATTATTTAAAGAATCGTTATCAATGCAATATTTTGATTGAGTTGTTATAACGCATGATGCAAAGTTCTTAGAATAATATCATTTCATTTTTTTTTATCAGCCACAAGCATTCTTTCAAAAATCGAGATCATCGATTCGGCATCTCTTATTTTTGAGTATTGAACAAATTTTTGCTCCTCGTCTATGTTGACCACATGTAGTTCGTGATAAGAGAGTGTGGGTGTAGATGGACGTGTATATGAGTGTCGATCGTCTTTTTACCCATGCCCTGAGAGGCTAAATAAGGGCATATTACTCATTTCTAAACCACGATACATTGGATCTAGCCAAACAATTTTTTTTGTTGTTTTTTGAAATAACGAAGTCTGGATATGACTGCAAATAGAACTTCTCAAACTTTATCACATCGTTTCTTTGAAGTTGACTTTGTAGTAAAAATAAAAATTGGGTTTAGAAGATTTTTGAAGAGTGAATGGTAATTTTTCTAAACACAATGCTGTGATTGAATTTTCTTTATTGAGCAATGAATTTTGTCTACGCTTTATATGCATTTTAATGTTTGTGAGACTTGACAAGTTTGTTTGAGATGACTTTAAAAAGTGCTCTCCAGAATTCAATCCTTCAACCAACAGATCAATCCAAGTTTATCCATTATTTCACTGGTAAGCAATAAATATCGGCAGTATCCTGGATTTGCTGATTCCCAGTTTCATATATTTTCATAGAACAGCGCTATTACAATTACATAAAGTGCCTATAGATCCGTCAATATTTTCAACTTTACAATTTATTGATATTTAATGTATCTTTACTTGTCAAGAATAAAACGCGAACACAATGAAGTGTATAGTGGATAATCCAAAAATAGTGAGAGATCAGCTTCTTCGGCTGTAGTCATTTGAAACTATTCGAAGGTTTTCTCAAAGCAAGACAATCGATTTTTTGAAAAGAACAGTTAAAAAGAGCTTGCAACGTAGATTCTGAAAATATGTTGTTAATTTTTCTAAAACTTTCTATAGCCAATGAATAATACAACAATAATATCTGTTATAAATCAATCACTTTCAAAACTTTTGTTTTGTAGATTTAAACTACTTTTGATAAAATCACCCGTAAGCTATTTGCTTATCCATTAGTAGTGTATTCACGTCTAATATTGACTTTTTGTTCTATCTCTTCAGATATGCATAAGAAAAGTGAGAAAACAACAAAGATTTTAACAATGTTGACACGAAAAAAAAATACAGATGTAAATAATGCTCTAGAGATTTATTTTTTTAACCCAGTTTTTATAATTGATCAATTGTAGATACTCGTTGCTTTCACGTTTTTTTTTAAACTCTATCAATCAGATTAACAATGCTAAACATATTCTCTAGTCTTACTGTTCACAGTCGGAAGAAAAATAGGAAGGAAGAATTACATCCGTTTTTTTCTTCTCTTTTTTAATCTTGACAGAAAATAACGAAATAGACAAGATATATGTTAGTGTGCAAAAATCGTTTGTTTTCTCTACAATTTTCTTATGTTCAGATTAAACAGGCACAAGCATCCGCATATACTTTAAATCGAAAGATAAAAAAAACTAAAAATGGTACGTATTGTTGCATAAAATCAAAACTTAAAATATTATTAAAAACTATCATAGATAGTTAAAATCATTATTATCGGATAATGATGCTGAAGATGTTGTTTATGAATTCTATTAAATTCTTTTTTAAATCTAGGATCTTGACACACTTCGAAATTATTATGGTAGTTTGGTTGTTGTTATTACATTTTTAAGTCGAATTATATTCGTTGGATTCTGTTGGAGTTATGGAACAGTTATTGTTCAATTTAAAAAAGAAAATTCAACAATATCCAACACAGAATTAAGTTTGTATTTATCGTACAGTTTTATTTAATAGAAAGAAGAAAAAAGAAATAATTCCATTTAGGTTGGATTGGTAGTATTGGTCAAAGTTTTGGTGGTCTTCTCGCTCCATTAATTTTTTTCTTAGCTCGTCGATATGGATATCAAATAGCATTTATTTTTTCACTTATAACATGTGTTATTTCATTATTAATTTCATCAACTATTCGTAATCTTCATTGGTTATTAATAACCTATTCAATTCCATATGGTTTTGCTAATTCAGTTATTTTCATTCTTGGTACATTAATTTGTGGTCTTTATTATCCTGTTAGTCAATATTCAAAACATATTCTTGTTATGTGTATTATTTCAACAGGATTTCCATTGGGTTATCATGTTATGAGTGCTTTGATATTTTCCTCAATTGAACATCATGGATGGCAATCAATGAAAAGACGTATTGCTCTGTTAGAATTATTTGCTAGTTGTATACTTGGTCCACTTTTTACTACGAAATATTTACCAAGTACAGCACCAGATCATCGTCGTATGTCAATAGCAGTTATACAAAATAATAATAATCGAAAAACTTATTTTTCATTAACAATCATTGTTTGGATGTTAGGAATATTTACAACAGTATCTGCAGTCAACAACTTTCTTCTTCATTTAGTAGGTTTTTGAAAGAAGATGTTTTTATTTTAGTTATGTCAAACATGACCTAACAGGTGTGTTGAAGTGTAGGAGTAAAAACTTGGACCTTCACAGATCGGCACAGGCGTAATAGATCGTATACCAAAAACGTCTTGTTATGATATAGCATATGATGCAAAAGTAATGTGAGAAAATGTTCGTCTTGATTTCTCTTTCGAAAAGAGAAGCACTCGTAGAATGCAAATAAATTATATAAAAACGACAGTTAATGAATTGATGAGAACGGTTAAACAACAGATCAATGATATCAATAAAACTACGCTACAGGCTATAGTGCAAGATATTCGAAAAAAAGAACTTCGACACATGTGCCGTGATAAACAATATTAAGTTTGTTGAATAAAGATTTATTGTTCGCCTTGCTGTTTTTAATAAATATATATATATAGGTTTGTTTATATATAAAGTTTTTTTTATAGCATATTTATTTGGAACATCTTCATGTTGCTCCAGCTCATGCTGATTTTTGGTTTCGTTTACATGGTCTATGCGATGCATTATTTCGACTATTAATTCCATTTTTTATTCGATTTTATCCAATAAATATTATTTATCTTTTTCCAATATGTGTTTTTACTGGTTTTATTTTCTTAATACTAACATTCGGTCTATATACAAGTGTACATGCATTAGCAGTTCTATCCATTGCTTGTGAGTTCATTTAGGAAAATTTCATTTGCTCGTCAATGATTTTTTCATGTATTTCTAAATAGTATTTAGTTTTACATCAGCTGTTACTACATCACTTCAATATACAGTTTCAAATCAACTCTTCGAAAATGATCAAACGGAACAAGGTTATGTCTATCATGTAATTATTACAAGTCTTGGTTTAATCATAGGTCCAGTGGTTGGAGGTACGAATATATATACCTATACGTATTTGAAGTTGGCTTTTATATGTTGAAACGTAAAATTGTGATGCATCAATCGAAACTATATGTTTTTCAACTAGTGAAGAGTTTTCTATGTAGATTTAACTAGGGTTTGAGAATATGGATATTTCTCTGACTCGCACGGTGTAAGCTCATTAGCTCGATAAGCTAGAGATCTGCAGTTTTTATCAAAATTTCTTGAAGTATCAGACAAACAGACGTTCGGAGCGCTCTTTTTTCGATTGCTGAAAATTGTGAGTCACTAGCTGTTTCCATTGTCGAGTTGTTGAGATTACACTGAACTCTCTTTATTTGTCGAGCGAACATCAATCATGAACTGAAACTGAAGAGTTGCTGACAAAAATGAAGCTTATTCGCTTGCAAGAGCCTCCGAAATTCCGCTTGATGAGTGTGTTTAGTTGCACGCATCATTTATTGATTTGATATACATGAAAGAAAATGTTTTATTTTCTTTTAGGTAAACTTCTGGATATAACCGAAAATTATAAATCGATTATTCTAACATCAATGGTTTTTCTTATTATTAGTTTTATTTCATTTAATGTCACGATTTTATTATTGAAGAAGCAGAAGAAGAATGAATTAGAACAAAATCAAATTTCTACTCTATAATACGATAATATATATATGCCTATGAATTGTTATCATATTAATTAAGATTAGACAATGGTGCATTTGGTAATTGTTTAATACCTGTATCTACACTAAAATTAACTTGAATGGGTACTGTACTAGCATTACCCGTTGGACAAGGACATGATTCAACTGTCTTGGATGATGATTTTCCACCACATAGACAATTACAATCTAATCCATATCGTGGTTTTGATATATCTTTTACAAGTTGTTTAAATTGAGATTGATCAATATTACATGCTAACGAAGGAATATAACGTTGACGTATACCACAACATGTACAATCACAATCGAGAAAATGAAGTTTAAATTGTTCATCTTTTTGTTCACATGACATATTTATGTTAGATAATTAAATATATATAAAAAGATGAAAAATAAGATAAAATAGAGATGTATATTTGTATATATGCGCGCTATTTATTCGATGTGGTTCTTTTTTTTGTAATTTAAATGATAATAAATTCATTCATTGAACAAGTTTACTTTTGATTGTCATCTATTAACAAATAAGATGATGGTATTCAGCGATGCACCTTGCTGAACTTTAAAGAATGTAAGAACAAACTTTGTTCGTGTTAAATTGATCATAATAAATGACAAACGCTGGTTCCTAATTCGATAGTTTCAATTATTTTATTAATGTTTTCTTATCTTACTTGCTTTGCTTTATTGTTTTTTTTGTTCAGATATTACTCTAAAAACACACCATATGAATTATTTTTTTGTCGTATGTCTTTCACTCTTCTCAACTGTAGCTTTATTATTCATTATAGAATATTCTGCATTTCATTCTAGTAAACAACTTCTACATTGATTGTTCTATAGTGATGATGAAATATAATTTAGATTGATAGGAGCATTATAAGTTCAATAATAATTCTTTTTATTGATGATAACAAAACATAAGTATTATTATTTTAAATTGATTATCAAAGATTAGTTTTAAAATATTGCCAATAATAATATTGTAGAAAATTTTATTTTGTTCACAAATAGCTAGAAGAATAACATCAATATCAATTTATCAATATTGATATCGTTTATCTTTTAAGATATTTGTCACAAAAAAAAAACAAAATACAACGGTTGCACATGAAGATATTTGATTTTTATGAAAAATTTTCAAATTTTTAATTTGTAACTACCTGTCATTAAAAAAGAAAGAGATCAAAGCCAACATAAACACTATAAAGTATAATAGACTTTATCTTGAGGTGCTTGCTGATGATAGGAGTAATGCTGTCGTTGCTGTTGATGAAATTGTTGCTGTTGTTGTTGTTGTTGCTGCTGCTGCTGGCGAAATTGTTGCTGTTGTTGCTGATGAAGCTGTTGCTGCTGTTGTTGATGAAGTTGTTGTTGTTGTTGTTGAAAAAGTTGCTGTTGTTGTTGAATTTCTGCTACAAATTGTCTAATTTGTTCTTCAGTCATAACGTATTGTTGTCCATTCATTGTAACTAGATAGAGTTGCTTTTGATCATCAGGAGTAGAACCATTAATTGAAGTTTCATTCGATGGTACGTTGAATCCACTGGCAGCAAGATTTTGTGTATCTTCATTATCGAGTACTTCGATTAAAATTCCTTGAGCAGACATCGTTTGATAGTATTGATGGATAAATTGAGTCTGTGGATGTGGACGTGGATGAAAGATTTGTTGTTGAGTCATATGTGGATGTACATGATGATGTGCATATATGAAACCATTAGGATATGCTTGTTGTTGATAATAAGCGGCGGCAGCAGCAGCAGAAGGCATTGTGAATATTGGATGACGAACATGAGAATTGTTATACATGAATGATTGAGAATAATTTTGATAATATTCGTGTGCTTTGTCTGATTCTTGTTTACGAAATAAGGGTGGATCATCAGGCTCTTCAACAATTGGTTTTGCTGATGTTGAGGAACTTGTAGCACTATGATGATCATCAGTATCTGAACCAACTTCAATAATTCGAGGATTCTGACGAAATGAATCATTTCTCATCGAATTTTGCTTAGTGCGAACAGAATTGAATTTATTCGGATCTATTTTATATTGTTTATGATAAGTAAAAGAGATGATTTGCAATGCTTATTAAGAGAACAAAAAAAAGAAGAACTTACTAATCATACGTTGCAGGGCATAGTAAATTATTTCTCCTCCATCTGGTGAACGTCTAAGAAAATCATGTTTCGTCAACAGTACTAATGCTTGACCTAAATAAAATGTGTATATATGCAACTATAGTGAATGCATGATAGGAATATTATAATTAAGTACTTTACCATTCATTTGAAATTTTGCAGTTGTTGCCTTCTTTAATTCGAATTTTTGACATTGTTCTTCGATCCAATGTTGTACCTCAGCTGATGACCACTGCGTCACATCTTTCTCGCTAGGATTCGAAGATGATTGTTCTATGTTATCGGTAGAAGATGACTTTGCTGCAGACACTTGATCGTTATCGTTCATCGCCGTAGCGGCAGGAGAAGCAGAATTTGATGTAGTTGTTGTTGTTGTTGTTGTTTCGGTACTGTCAACTCCCTTATAGGGTGCGACATTAACTCGATGACGATTTTGCGACAAATATTGATAGTAGCCTGTAATAGGCACTGATTGTAATCGATGACTAATCATCATATAATAAGAAAGAAGAAAAAAGTAAACAGCAATACGTGAGATATAATAAATGCATATGCAAACGATAGAGAAAAAGCAATAATAAGAATGATGAAACTATGTACAGGAGCAATATGAATAAGTGAGCAAGCACGAACATGTATTCATTTTTTTCTTCCTCACGGTCTTTACTACACTTTACTTGTATGATTGATCGAACGAAAAACCTAGTGAAACGAGACGACCAATCTTTATATCATCTGTTTTGCTTTCGTAACAATAATGATATACTAAGGTATGCTAATAAGACAACAAAATAGATCAATTTATAGTGAGATTTTTGAAATTAAAATTAAATAAAACATATGATTTTGTTGATCTATTATTGTACTTATTGTCATTCTTTCTTTTTTTTTTTGTTTATTTGACTTCTACTTCAAACAAATCAAGGGAATCATTCAACCATAACTGTGATGTATGAGTGAACATCCAAATCATTGGTTATTTCACTCAATTATATGCATATCGTCTATCAATGTAGACATGGATGACAAAATTTTATCGTAGCTTCTATTTATTATCGCATACTATATTTAAGAATCTTATAAGAAATTAAATTAAGTCTGATTGTATTTTTATTCATATGAAAAAGAAAAAGAAAAAAGAAATTCAATCTATACTATTGTACTTTTAATCAAATAATAGTTTATTATTCAAAGCTAATCTTCATTTTAACGAGCTATGGTGCAAACAGACAAGGCAGGACATTTATGATCTTTTGAACAATATGAAGGTAAGGCAAATATGCTTGGATCTATGGCACCTTTTTTAAAACTGTTTACATCAAATACCATTAAATCATTTGGTTGTTGATCAATTACATAAGGTACTTGAGTAGCATCAACTTGCCAATAATAATTATTTTGAAGACCTTTCTTATTCCATACTTGATATTTAACTGAATCTGTTGTATTATATCCAATAAATGTTGCATCTGATAACCAATCAGGTTTTAAAATTCCACAACCACTTTCTGATGTACAACACATACAACATGAATTCAATGTTGGAAAAACAAGATATCGAAGACCATTGACAACAAGATGAGTACATGGAACATCTTTAAAAAGTTTTACTGAACTGCAATAACGATCATATTTGCCTGTTGAACGATCAATACGACTGTTAAATAAAAAATAAATGTAGAAAATAATAATGAACATAGAATTAAATTAACTGACATAGCTTTCTGATCAAAATCATAATAGTAAGTTCCATGAATATTTGAACTTGTTCCAACTACTGGTAGAGTACTTGTTTCATTAAATGTTTCTTGAAAAGCTACTGGCCAAACTGGTGGTGATGGATCAGCTATTGTTTAATACAAATAAATAGATAAGAAAATTGAAAAACAAAAATTAAGATATATGTAAATATATATATAATTACCAGCAGTAAGTAGACTGTAATCACTACTCAAAACGGCAATAATCAATATAAAAACCAATTGATGACAATACATTTTGAAATATCTATTAATAGCGTAAAAACTGATTTGTATTCATGATTGAATATGTTTTATAGTGAAATTAAAAATAAAGAGAAAATGATTGAGAAAAGAATCCAGCTGCTACTTTTTTAAGCATCATATGCTGATGTTCTCAGATAACTAGAATAAATGCATGAGAATGATAGCAAAGAGAAAAAAAATGAATTTGTCATGATGATCATACCTTACATGAGATAAATTTTGTTATATAAATTCTGAAATAAAGATAATACAAGTATATTACGATTATTTTTATTTTAGAAGCATAGGTTTTGATCAAGAATGACAGATTTTAATACAAAATTTATTCAGTTTTCTTTTCAAACTTTATCCCAACGAAAAAAATACGATCTGATTTCTACAATAGCAGAGGGTGAACATAAGCGAGTTAAATTTTTATTATTCATTTGATCTAAAATTAAACAATGAATTTCAAGGCCTTCCAATAAATAAATGACTATCGCACGAAATTAAAAACATATTTTTTATTTAATGAGAGAAGATTTGAGACAAAGAAAAGAGTTATTAAGCGATGCAATTGTCTTAGTCTTGAAATGGAACCGATATCAGTAAAATATACTTCAACTATCCTCCAGCTCGAATAGATTATTAGCTGCAAAATTTTTAAATTCTACGTTGATCATTTTCAACATCTACTCCAGGCTGTTCTAACAGAAACTTGAAATTTAATTATCAAAATAATATTCGATTGTTTTATCAAAGAATTATCTAAGAAAATGGCTTGGTGTAGAGCATCGTGACTGGAAAATTTCACGCTCTGTCGATTTATAATTTCTTCAAGTTGAATCTCAATTAGAGTAGAGCATATGTTCTTAATACTATAATAGAATCAATAGAAAATGCTGTCAGAAAACGAAACAAAACATTTATAAAAAAAAGAAAATAGATTTATAATTGATTTGAATAACAGTATGCGTCAAACGAATTTCTCTCGAGTTTTCATGTAGAACCGCAAAGTTTTGAAAAGTTTTCCGACCTTCACGACTAATCAAATGGTCGTCATCTTTGCCATATACATGTCTCACTTCAACATACGATATCAGTTCTACCCAACCAAAGCTTGTAACGGAAAAATAGCATTAAAATGATCAAAAATTTACATCATTATGACGGCGAAAAACTGTTACAAATAACCCTCAACAATGCCTACTGTGTTAGGCATTAAAGTAGTTGATTTCATGAAGAGAAAACGATTTTTTGTGACAGTTTTTTACCATGTTTTCGTTACAATCTCTGGCTGAGTATGATCTATAATTTCCCGGGATATTCTTCAAATGAGTAGTGCAAGGTAAACTATCTTCTAATATACGTGTTTGTTCCTTTTATGATTAAGTTCTTACATAGATATTTAATCATAAAAGAAACAAACACGTATATTAGAAGATTGTGTATCTTGCACTACTAGTTTGAAGAATGTCTCGGAAAAGCAGTCTTTTTCCTCAGTATAGAGCGCACTAATGTTTGGATGAAAACTCTACTCAATCATCTAAAAAACAATCTGTTTCACTAATCAATTTCAGTCATTTCTATTGTTTCGTAAACATTTGATGAAATTGAGTGCATCTCTTAAAATATTATTGTTTGACCATTTCCATAACGTGCTTTAATTATCTAATTCCATCAGAACCTTTTTAGAAATGTTCTAACTGATACCTCACATCAATTTTTTTTTATAAATAAAGTCTTTCTCTATTAACTATTTAAAACTGTATATTTCTTTGGCGCGATAATAATAGAATAAAATACTCAAAACACTTTATAAAAATGCTCACATAAAAGATATTTTTCATTATACACTCGTGTTCATCAAATTTTTGATGTACACTGAGAGACATAAATGATTTTAATTGATGGGTCAAACACGCGACTCTATAGTTTTCAAAGAACTTCTAAATTAAAACTAACATGATTTAGTTTTAATTGGAATTAATCAATCATTGAATGAAATTATAGAGCCTATTTAGAAATTAAGAAGTCAGAGTATGATGGAAAAAATTACATAGACACGATAAAAATTTCGGAAAGTACTTTAAATCACAAAGAATAACATTGTCAGTTAGGTCTTATATCTATATCACACACAGAATTCAGAACGGTATGAAATAGATTTCT